GCCGTAAGATAAAAATGCGATTCGAGTAGAATTTTGTGACTCGAGCCACTCGGGTTAATATATGTATGTATGTCATTCTAGTTGTACACTAGTTTATGATTAAATCGACTATTTACACGGTACGGTAACATGGTAAAATTTATTTTCTATCGATTATCGAGTTGGACACTTTCACTAGATTCACTCGAGTGAAATAAAACATGGTTGGAGTCGCATCATTATGGAAAGAACAAAATGAGGTTTTTATTTACAGGCATTACCAGAATAATGTTTAAGAAAATATGGATGTTATCAATTATCAGGTTAATTAATATAAGAGTTTATTAAGTTACACCTATTCTAGGTTGTGAAAATCTATTATTACGTTTGTAGATTTTACCTGAAACAAATGCAAATAACAAACAGGTCTTAGAACCTTATTAATATGTTAAAAGTGACAAAGTGATTAAGTATATAAGTGCCGTGTAGTGGCGGTTGAGAATATCCACCACCACATATCTTCCCGTGGGTGTCGTAAGAGGCGACAGAGGGAGACAGGCAGAAGATGAGCAGCAGCATCTTCCTGATAACAGCAATGATATAAAAAAAAACTGCGGTTGCCAACCCGCTCGCCAAGCGGGGCAACTATGGCAAATATCCCCCCAATGAGTAACGACGCAAACAAACGGCCCCCAGTCCCCGGCGGCCCCGCTATTCCTGGCTACGGTGGCGACCATGGTAACGGCGGGGCAGGGGGTGATAAGAATCTCCGGTGGAGGTTCGGTTGCTACCTACGACGACTCGACCTGGCAACATATAACGCACGCACCCTGATGACTGACGAGAAGATACTGGAGTTGGAAGAAGAGGTAGACAAAATGCGCTGGAATATTATTGGGTTGTACGAGGTCCGAAGAGAGGGGGGAGGACACGGTAATCCTCGAGTCCGGCAACTTTTTCTATCACCGGGAGAACGACCATCTGTCCCAAGGAGGTGTCGGATTTATCGTCCACAAGTCTCTCGTCAACAACGTTGTAAAGATTAGGAGTGTGTTGACGAGGGCCGCGTACCTGATACTCACAATCACAAAACGGTATTCGCTGAAGGTCATACAGGTTTACACACTAACCTCGGCACATCCCGATAAGGAGGTGGAGGAAATGTATGAGGATATTTCTAGAGCCATGAATTCCTCCAAAACCTGATGATGATGGGATGATGTTGATGGGAGACTTCAACGCAAAACTAGGCACAAGAGAAAGCGATGACCTGAAGTTAGGGAAATTTGGAGTGGGGCTACGGAACCTTAGGGGCAAGCAGCTGGCCGACTTCATGGAGAAAGAGGGACTCTTTATGATGAACTCTTTCTTCCAGAAGCGGCCCCACAGGAAGTGGACCTGGTCGAGCCTCGACGGTTCGACAAAAAATGAGATTGACTTTATTATGACGACCAGACGCCAACTGTTCAGTGATGTCTCAGTGATCGCAAGGGTGAAAACTGGCAGCGATCACCGAATGGTTAGAGGTGCACGGTACTTAAAGGTTAAGTTGGAAAGGTCTCGACTAATGAAGTCAACGCACCGTCCCCCCTCGCGATCTAATCCAGAATCCCGAAACCTTTCAGCTCAAGTTACGTAACCGCTTTAAGTGCCTAGCAGATTGCAATGCAGTGGACGATATGAATGACAAGCTCGTGGAAACTGTCCATACGGTCGGAGCTAAGTTCTGCACGACCGGCCGCAGAAGAACACAAAAGCTCTCCGAACACACTCTTAATCTCATGGCTGTTAGACGGGAGATGAGGCTGCAATCGTCAACAGATTTGACAGCATACAGGCAACTGAACAGACAGATCTCCAAATGCATGCGGCGAGACTTACGCAAATTTAATACTGCTCGTATTGAAGAAGCGATTGAGCGGAACCAGGGCTCCAAAGTCTTTGCCAGAGATCTGTCTGCCAGTAAGAGCCAACTGTCAAAGCTGAAGACTGAATGTAGCAGCATCGTTTCCGGGACACCTGAGATTCTGAATGAGATTGAGAGGTTCTATGGGCAGCTGTACACATCATCGTTGGAGCCACACGCAAGTGTGAGTAACGATCCAAGAGCGGGTCGTCTAAGCGACGTCAGTCTATGCGAGATTTGAATTGCTCTCCAGCACCTTAAAAACGGCAAGTCCCCGGGCTGGGACGGAATTACAGCGGAGCTTCTGAAAGCGGGTGTAAAACCGATACTTGAAGTCCTTCAGAGGCTCTTTAATTCCGTCCTCCATGGTGGCACTACTCCGGAGGCGTGGAGCAGAAATGCGGTGGTCTTGTTCTTCAAGAAAGGTGACAACGCCATCTTGAAGAACTACAGACCGATTTCCCTTCTGAGTCGCGTCTACGTGCTGTTTTCGAGAGTCATTACGAATCGTCTCGCACGCAGACTCGACGACTTCCAGCCTCCCGAACAAGCCGGTTTCCGAAAAGGCTTTAGTACCATAGACCACATATATACCCTTCGGAAAATTGTACAGAAGTCCTAAGAGTACAATCTGCCACTTTCCCTAGCGTATGTGAACTATGAAAAAGCCTTTAATTCCGTCGAAATTTGGGCGTTGATACAGTCTATTAAGCAGTGCCAAGTTTACTGTCGGTATATCGAAATGCTGAAGTGTTTGTACAGTAGAGCTACGATGTCTATCCGAGTACAGAACCAGAGTACGAAACCTATATAACTGCAGAGAGGTGTAAGACAGGGTGACGTTATTTCCCCGAAACTCTTCACCGCTGTATTGGAAGACGTTTTCAAGCTACTGGACTGGAAAGGCGAGTACATCACTCACCTTCGATTTGCCGACGATATAGTCCTTATGGCAGAATCGCTGGAGGACTTAAGCACTATGCTCAATGATCTCAATTGTGCCTCCCAACGGATAGGTCTTAAGATGAACATGGACAAAACAAAGATCATGTTGAATGTCCATGTCACACCTATGCCGGTAGTTGTTGGGAGCACTAAGCTCGAAGTTGTTGACGAGTACGTTTACCTGGGCCATATAGCTCGAAGAACTGACAACCGTTGGAGAAAAAGGTTTCTGGAGTAGCAGCCTCGTACCGGTAGACGAAGTATAGGGCGACCCCCACTAGATGGAGCGACGACCTGATAAGACATGCATCCATCGAGATGCAGGTGGCTCAGGACCGTGCTTGGTGGCATACCATGGGGGATGCCTATGTTCAACCGTGGACTTGTAAAGGGCTGTAACGATGATGATGTTGATGATGACAAAGTATTAAGTTCGTGTTATTAGTAAAATCTATTTACCTCATAAAATTTTGTGTGCAAAGAGTTTCGGGGGCAATAAATCGATCTAGCTAGGATTTATTTTTAGAAAATGTCTTTTTGTCCGTGTTTTTAGGCAATGAAAAACTGCTACAATATCGTTAGAATAAGAAGGTAAAGTTTTGACAACTTATTAATGATTTTGAGCTTAATTGGTATATCGGGCGGTCACAAAATCGTAATACCATGGTTCGAGCCCAGACCGACCGACCGACATTTTTAATTTTTTTTTCAAGTTCCTTTCTTTTTTGAGAAAATCTATTTTTTCGAGCCCTTTTTTTAGTATTTTTAAAAACACGAAAATTTAAATTAAACTAATTGCACTCATGATTTTTTATTCAAATAACCAGTTCAGTTTTTTCTATTATGTCGCTAAGATCAAAAAATATTATTTGTATTTCATCAGTATGTAATTTGTATCTAAATATAATTTCCAAAACACACGAATTAAAAGAAAAAACCGAGCGAAAAATACCGAGCAAAGCTCGGCCAACCGGGTACTAAATAATAAATAGAATACATTCACAAAAGAAGTTATTATAATGTTAAAAGAATATTAGAACTTATGATCGAGGGACTTAAAGAGGGTTTGAAGAGCAATTCATATAACTGCATTTGTGTACAAATAGGTACCTTATGTATTCAGATCATCATTCACAAATTGCTTAATACTAAATGGCTTTCTTGTTAAGCCAGACACGGGTCCTGGATTTATACCAGCCGTAGTAGATAGGAAATATAAATGGTACATATATTTATCTGTAAAAAATGTAGTAATTATTTGTAATAGAAGCAAATATAAAGTTTAATAATAATAGTTTGCACAAAAAAGTGTAATGGCTGTATCTATTATGCTTAGACAGCTGTGTTGTTCACTCTGCAGAAAAGAATATTATTTTGTCATCTAGAATCAGATAAACTTAATATAAAAATAATATATTTGTCTCGTATTTACATGAAACCAGTTAAAATAAAATGTGAGACAACTTTTACATACTTGAATATCATTGATGTTAATCAATAATTACTGCTTCTGTATTAATAATAATAATAATAATAATAATAATAATAAAAGGCGTAGGGAAGTGACAACCCCATCGCCCTGATCGCATCGCGCTGATATAACGGTTATGTGACAAAACCGCTACGTCGGCGCAGTCAGTCAGCACCTTGCCAAGAGGTGTTAGTGCCGTGCCTCGGCAAAAATTGAAGGTGCCAAGGCCCGCTTGTGCACATGGTCTAACCATGAAACGGCGCCGGGTCTGGGCGTCTCCCGCTAAATGACGCTCTAAAATGGATGATGGAATCAAATGGAACGCGCAAAGGGCCGCTGCCTGGAGGTCGCCAGGGCGCGTCTGGAGCTGGCGCTGGACGCGACAGCATGCGAACCGCCAGCCGAGCGCGAGGTGCTGCACGACCACCCAGCAGCTCCTCGCATCCATCATCCCCACCAGCTGGCTTGGTGTCGGCAGGGTCTTCGCGGGCTCAGCAATCGGCACCCGCCACTGGTGGAGTACGCCGCATGCGTTGGACAACTCAGATGAACAGCAACGCATTGCGGGCGTATTTTAGGGCGAAAGGGGGAGAAACTGGAGGTTTTGCGTATCGGGCAAGGATGCATTGACTTGTTGCTGAGCTGGAGCCATCTGTAACCGTCACTGAGCAAAACCTGGCAGACCGAGTTCGGTATATCTTGCGCTCAAATACATTTGATGTCACCGAACTCGAACGGCTACGACGTGAGGCTGTTCCTTCATCGGGTGAAAATGCTGCGGCTGAGGATGCGGCGCCACAACTTGCTGAGCAAACGGCAAATGTGGATGCCGCCGTAAATACGCCAGTTGTGGTTGATTCAAACGATGATGGAACAGTCGCCCAGGAACTGGAACTAGAGCAAATGAGGAGTACATTGGAAGAGGCGATTGTGGAAACGCGCAGTACGACTCTCGAAAATCGACCGCGACTTCCCCGCTTAGCCCTACGCAAGCGGAATCGGGCTGTCGTGAGGGCTCTGAACCCAATGCTGGTTACCTATTTGGAAGCCAGCCTGGACCTTTGCGATACGGACTCAATTCTTTTTGGCGCCGCACTGGCAGTCTGCCGTATTATAGGTGCCAAACTTTCCACGGCTAGACGCGCTACTGGACAAAGTAGTGCTATCCCAGCCTGGAGAATAAGAATTGAAGAACGTATCGCAAAGGCTAGGGCCCTCATCGGCAGACTGATATGCTTCAGGTCAGGCAATACCAGGCCAAGCATTGTGCGCACCGTCAGGATGGCGTTTGCTGGGACAAATGTTAGTTTGTCCCAGCCGGATATAATGCAAAAACTGACGGAGCGCATAGACGACCTGAAGCAAAGAATAGCTGCTTGGGGAAAGCGGATTCGGCGATATACCGAGAGGTCGACACGGTTCAACCAGAATCGTCTCTTCCAGAGTGATCAGAAGAGGCTCTATAAAACATTGGAGCGACCAGTAGTAAGTGGAACGGGCCCTGCACCAAATCAGGCCGACATGGTCGCATTCTGGCGCAGCCTGTGGTCAGAGCCCGTAAACCACAACGAGGGCCCTTGGACGGAAGTTGTGGCGAGTCAGTGTGCGAGTATTACGCCCATGGACCCCGTCATCATAACGCCGGATGACGTAGCTGAGGCGGTCCGTAGGGCCCCGAACTGGAAAAGTCCGGGGCTTGACGGGCTGCATCACTACTACGACTGGCTGAAGGGGTTCATGGTGTGTCACTCTGTGCTCGCCCGACAGTTTCAAGAGGCTCTCAACCAGAAGTCGCTCCCAAGCCTCTTCACTACTGGGATCACTCATTTGGTTCCTAAAGATCAGGGTGCCACAGACCCGAGCAAATACCGCCCCATCACGTATCTACCGACCATATACAAGACACTAACATCCATTTTGAGCGCAAGAATCGCTCGTCACCTGGACTTAAATCAGGTGATGTCGCGCGCTCAAAATGGATGTCGGGGCGGCGGTCGTGGAACCAAGGAACCACTCCTCATTGACGCGGTCATTGGCAAAGTGGTGAAACGCAACCGTCGGAACTTCTCCGCCACCTGGATAGATTACAGAAAGGCATTTGACTCGGTGCCCCATACATGGCTAAAGAGGGTCCTCGAGCTGTACAAGATTGACTGTACTGTTCGAGACTTCCTCGAGCAGTGTATGGGGCAGTGGAGTACGATCCTCTGTCATCTAGGCGAGCGGATGACGGCTGCGGAAAGCCGCATAAGAATAAGAAGGGGTATATTCCAGGGCGACTGTCTGAGTCCAATCTGGTTCTGCCTCTCTTTGAACCCTCTTAGTACTTTACTGGAGGGCTCCGGGAAGGGATTTCAGCTTCGGAAAGGAGGTACAAAAGTGACCCACCTTTTTTACATGGATGACCTCAAATTATTCGCCTCTAGTCGCTCCCATCTTATGGAATTGCTAAACATCACGTGTGAATTTAGCAATTCTATTAGAATGTAGCTGGGGACGGATAAGTGTGCAGTCCTCCATGTTGAAAGGGGAAGGGTTGCTAACTCTGAGGGCATAGACTTATCTATGCCCGTCAACTTAAGAACCCTTTCCGAGGCTGAAACATACCGATACCTGGGTATGTCACAGAACATCGGTATCGATGAGGCTGGTATGAAACAGTCAGTTTGCGACGTGTTTTATGCACGCTTGACCAAAGTGCTTAACAGCCTTTTGTCCGGTGTGAATAAGACACACGCATATAACGGTTGAGTCATGCCTGTCCTCATGTATACCTTTGGCATACTCAGGTGGACCCAGACTGAACTTAACGCCCTGGATAGAAAAGTCCGCACTACCATGACGTCCCATAGGATGCATCATCCGAGATCGTCGGTAATGAGGCTGTACTTGCCGCGGAAGCATGGTGGTCGTGGCTTCTTGAGCGCGCTCACCATGCATAATCGCGAAGTGTGCAGCCTCCGTGATTACTTCCTTGCGAGATCGGATGATCCATTCTATAAGGACGTCATTTCTTGTGATAAAGGACTTACCCCTCTATCCTTAGCCAACGAGCAATGGCAAGACCCGGCAGTGCAGAGCATTTCCGACCGGGAGACCGTATGGAAGGAGAAGGAGCTCCACGGGAGGTTCTACAAGGCTCTACATGAGCCTTTCGTAGACACAGTAGCCTCCCTCCACTGGCTACGCTTTGGTGATCTCTTCGGGGAAACCGAGGGTTTTGTCTGTGCAATACAGGATCAGGTTATTAAGACCAACAACTATCGGAGATACATCCTAAAAGATGGCACCGTCGACATCTGTCGAGCTTGTCGCCATCCCGGTGAGTCACTTAGGCATGTTATCTCCGGTTGTTCGGCGCTTTCTAACTCTGAGTACTTGCACAGGCACAACCTAGTAGCCAGAATTCTACACCAGGAGCTCGCTCTGAAATACGGTCTCGTGGACCGAAAATTGCCGTATTACAAGTACTTGCGGAAGCCGTGCTCGAAAATGACCGCGCCAGGCTCTATTGGGACCGGGCCATCATCACAGACAGGACTATTCTTGCGAATAAGCCTGATATTGTGCTGATGGACCGGGCACAGTCAAGGATATTTTTGATCGACATTACCATTCCGTATGACGAGAACCTCGTGAAAGCCGAAACAGACAAGAAAACAAAATATCTGGACCTGGCTCACGAGGTGACCGACATGTGGGGTGGTCTGCCGACCGAAATTATTCCTGTAGTCGTCTCTGCAAACGGGCTAATCCCAGTCAGCCTCTCGGGTCAACTGAGGCGGCTGGGACTACGTGGCGGACCGCTCCAGGTTCAAATGCAGAAGGCGGTGCTCCTCGATACCGCCCGCATCGTCCGCCGGTTTCTTTCCCTTTCCCCCTAACCCTCGGCCGTTTGGTCTCCCCTGCCGAGGGCCTCCATCTGGTTGGGCTTTTACTTATTTATGTACTTTTATATTTAATTTATGTTATTGATATTTATGTATATTTATCTTTTCATTTTCATTTATAATTATATATTTATAGAACCCAACCAGATGAGAAAACTATATAGATACCCCATAATAATAATAATAAGGGTTTTGTCTGTGCAATACAGGATCAGGTTATTAAGACCAACAACTATCGGAGATACATCCTAAAGGATGGCACCCTCGACATCTGTCGAGCTTGTCGCCATCCCGGTGAGTCACTTAGGCATGTCATCTCCGGTTGTTCGGCGCTTTCTAACTCTGAGTACTTGCACAGGCACAACCTAGTAGCCAGAATTCTACACCAGGAGCTCGCTCTGAAATACGGTTTCGTGGATCGGAAGTTGCCGTATTACAAGTACTTGCCGGAAGCCGTGCTCTAAAATGATCACGCCAGGCTCTATTGGGACCGGGCCATCATCACAGACAGGACTATTCTTGCGAATAAGCCTGATATTGTGCTTATGTACAGTTTTTTTACAATTTATTTTATTAAGGTGGTAAATGTCCAATGTTATATTTAGTTTATTATATAAGTGTGGTCCCAAAAATGCAAAGAATTTTCTTATAAAAGTTGTTTTAAAATTAGTTGTATCTACGGAAAATTTCCTGCGTTTATTTAAGTTCGATCGGTTGTATACTAATAATTTATGTTGTTTCTGAATGATCGCTAATATAAACAGTTGTCTTACTGTAAGCACCTGACAGTTATCATAAAGCTGTGATGTAGGATAAAGAAAAGGTTTAAATGTTGCAACTTTGAGTATAGCACGTTGAGAGATTTCTATATTTTGTGACACCGTTTTAGAGGCACCACCCCACGTTGATATGCAGTATGTTATAATAGACTGACATAAAGCTAAGTAAACTCGTTTTAATATATCTGGATCCAAAACGTGTCTAATAGTTTTAAAAATATATATTAATTTATGATTATTTTGCTAAGAGTGTTAATATGTTGTTTAAAATTTAAATTACTATCTATTATAACCCCTAGATATTTAATATATTCAACAGACTCAAGTGAAAGGCAGAAACAGCTGTTATCCCTTGTTAAACAATCATATGAATGAATCACTAAGTTAAAATTTTCAAGGTTGCGAATAGGTTTTCTTAATGAATAAACTATATATTTTGTTTTCGTAATATTGATTGAAAGTTTTATACTGTAAAGCCAATTAGTAACTGCATTTATACCTAATTGTGCAGACGAGGATACATCTTTCCACGTATCCGCAGCAAATATCAAAACAGTGTCATCTGCATATGAAATTATATGTAGGGACTCAGGAGGGGAGAGAGATTAAATTTTGTAAAATTATCAATATAAATAAGAAATAAGGTTGGGCCGAGTATACTTCCTTGTGGTACGCCGTGTGTTACTAGTAAATCATTGCTGGTAATATTATTTACACTAACGCATTGATATCTCTCAGAAAGATAACTTTTTCATAGTTTGAGTTGAGTGCCTCTGATACCGACATTTTCTAGTCTTTTTAATAGTATTTTTATTGACACGGTATCGAATGCTTTCGCCAAATCTAAGAAAACAGAAATACACTTTTTTCCACTGTCTAAATACGATGACAAAAAATTTGTAAGAGTATGAACGGCATGCTCCGTTGATTTGCCATGTCTAAAACCAAACTGCGTATTTGACAATAAATTATTTTTCTCCAGATATTTTGTAAGTCTATTATTTATAATTTTCTCTAAAATTTTGGATAAAGCAGGTAATATAGAGATGGGTCTATAATTACTTAAACAGGTTTTTTCACCATCTTTAAAAATAGGTCGAATTACGGACTTCTCAAGATATCAAGGGAATACACCATCATTTAAACATTGATTAAATATGCAAGTTAAAGGAGGTATTAACAAATATTTAAAAAATTTTAATAAATTTATTCGAAATTCCATCCCAACCAACTGAACAGTCGGTTTTCAATTGTCAATTAATTGTTCTACTTCACTTTCATCCGTGTCCAATAAAGCAAATGAATTTAAGTAATAATTTGATTCTTCACCAATGTTAATATTAAAACTTTCACTGTTTTTATTTCCTACCTTAAAACTCTCTGCCAAAATTTTACCTACATTTACAAAATAATTATTAATAAGGTTAACAGATACTTCCGGCGTGCTAGATATATTTAACAGTTCTCTGTTATACCCTTTCTTTTTCATTTTACCTATAATATCAGTAAGTACTTCCCATAGCTTCTTATTATTATTTTTAGCCATATTCACTCGCTCTTTTTCATAATTTCTCTTTACCTTTTTTAACAATGCGTTACAGTGATTACGATATCGTCGGTATATAATTTGATCACTTTCACTATCTGGAAATCGTCTAGCCCTCTTATGTAGTTTATCACGGTGACGAATACATCTAAGAAGACCAGTCGTAATCCAAGGTTTAATGATCTTTTTTTGTCTTGGCAACTTTACTAATTTAGTATTAACTTCAATTACTGTTTTTATTTTATTAACTAAGTATTCAAGAGAGGTATTTGGATCTTTAATATTATATATAGGTAAAAAGTCAATGCTTTGCATATCCGAATTAAGTTTATCGTGATCTATTTTTCTGATAGTAGTTGTATAAAACTGTTGACGTTGTTTATTTTTCATACATAAAATTACAGGCTTGAAGTTTGAGGAACCATAGTAAGTGAAGGATTATTCGTTTTTAGCAGAACATGATCAATACACGAACCACTTGCGTCACGTGTTACTAAAGTATGAGTGGGTAGTAACCCATGGAATGCTGTCAGTTGTAAATACTTATCCGAATTAATATCTGTTTTATTGTTAATGTTAATATTTATATCTCCTATTATAATTATGTTTTTATGTTTCGAATATTTCTGTAGTACACTATCCAAGAAGGCAAAAAAAGTTTTCTACATTTTTATATGACGATGACCAATATATTGAGATTATAACAATATCATTCAATGTTGTTATGATACAATTCCCCTTCTTGAAAATGAGGCTCCTCAGTCGTGAACAAATGTTTTTCTTTTACATATAATACTAATCCGTCATTTTGGTTGTTATTAAAATTAGTGGAGCATAACTTCGTATATTCTGCCTAATAATTGTGAAGTTGGATTCACTAGATGACAAATACTTATAACAATCTTCAACGTCACAGGCTATCGATCTTGATACCGTAAATGTATCTAAGTTAATAGCGAAGCTTAGAGCGTTATTATCGCCTTTTATTTATTACTTTAAATTTCTCTAAAAAAGTCTCGTTGTTAACCACATAATATCTTTTATTCGATAAATTGATTGAAAAATGTAACTGTAAGTATTATATTATATAAAATGAGTAAATGTGATTTATTATAAAATGTAAGTGTGATTTAAAAGATGTAATTAAGGTGTATAATGTTTGATTTTTGTTTATGTACTGTGTGTAAATTGTGATTCTAATTTGAGAAGAATTTTCATTCTTGCGTAAGTATACAATGTCTCTAGATATCCAGCAAAATAAATATTTATGACTTTTTTGGAAAATTCTGGCCTGATAGAAAAGTTTTTGAGTATTTTGTGTTAACGTCTCCGTGACATATATAGGGATGTTTTTTGTGAGTAATTTAGATGCGAAGTATTTAATTTCTCATTTTTTGGTTTTGTTTTATTACATTTTTTTACTTCATGTAACATCTTTTCTTTAATAACGACTGAATTAAATTCCACTATTATCGGTCTAGTCACAGTCTTAGAATTAGTTCTATACACGACTTTTAAGTCCGAATCCCGCAAATTTACATTCAAACACTCCCCTAATTTTTTAACAGTGCTACATAGATTTTCTTTTGATTCTTCATTGTTTTTAGGTATGTTCCTTATTTCTATTCCCGAAAATCTAGACTTCCTTTCCATATTTTCTATTTTCTCTTGTAGTTGTTGTATAACATATTAATTTATCCTGCCTTTTCTCTGCCTCTAGAACGGATAGCCGTGATAGAAACTCATCATACTTGCTTGACATAGTATCGACGCTCTTTTTTAATTCATCGTTCTGTTCTTTTATACTAGAAACTATAATTTGTAAATCTTTGAAATGCTTTGCTTGTTCATTCGTATAAACTGAAAACATTTCACTCATATAAGACATAATGTTAGGATTCACTCCGTCATGTTTCCTTTTTTTACGCTCACTAACATTTAACGTAAGCGATGGAATATCAGGCGCCGATTCACTATGGAGTTTTGTCGTCCGTTCTATCGCGTCGATTGCGCGCGTCCGCGTAGTCTGCGATTGCGATGTATCATCAGAGCTCACAGGCATGGGCGAAGCGGGCGGCGGTGTACGGTTGATCGGCATTGTATAACCGGTTTTGAAATAAAAGACGCCTCAACGTTTAATTACCAGGACAATATGAGTTAGAAAGTGTGATCGCAGTATATTTGCGAACTTGTACCCCTAATGCAACCGTACAAGTAAAATATAACCGTCTCTCTTCTTATCGTTTTACTAACGTGTGGTGTCTTATGCTGTGTCCTATTTATTTGTTGATTGTAAATGTGATGGTTTTACTCACACATATAATTTAGTTTGTTGAAAATTAATCACTGCCGCAGATGACATTAGCACTTCGTAAACTTTCTCGGGCTTTATGCACTCCTAATATTTTATCACTATTTTGTCACAGCATTTATTAGAAAATACAAGTAATAAAAATAAACTATAAACACGTCTTTACTCTTTGGAAGTTCGGGGGGAAGGGGTATTTGATTATCTGGAGCTGATTAATGCTGTATAATTTATAATAATTTCTTTATTATTTAACATATGCACAGGCAGATATAAGAAAATGCTCGCAGAAATATGTAAATACAGTTTATTGACATTGAAGGCATAGTCCTATCTCGTATCCCCTATTATTAAAATAGTCCTTTTAATTCCTATATAATATAGAAAAAAATAATATATTGATAAGAATTATTACTTAGTTAAGACACCTTTACAATTTTCATTAACTTCTTTTCTGGTGGATCGCTTAGAACAAATCTGTATGCCTTGCAGACTGAAAGCTTGCAGAGACAAAAAGTGTATGGATATTGAAGACAACAGTCTTATATCACAGTCAACTTGGGTATCTTTGAATTTCAATGTAACTTTGAATAGAACTTCACTAACAATTAAATATTTTTTACAACTGTACCAGAGTATCCAAATAGAGAAGGTATCGTGTGGAGCTAAACAGTGGAATGTATAGACTATATTTAACAAAAACAAAAACTGTACTTGTCAATGTCAGTTTGTATTTTAGCGCGTCTGCGAAAACAAGGTCTGTCTGCAACAAAGTTTATTAGTGAATTTAAATTACATTTTTTTAAAGATATCGTAACTGAAGAGGGTAAGTTTTGTGTTTAATATTACTGGCACAGTTTTAACTTATCTTCTTGTCAATTAACATATAATTTACTAACCCTTTTACCCATATATTTGATAATCATTTGATACAGAAAAAAATAACAAATTTTTGGGTAACTTTGAACCATTCCATGTTACCCTGGTAGTATATTATTAGATGGGGTAACTTTGAATGTGTTGCTACCAAATGTTAAAAAACATATGTATGAACATAATTGTTTTTTATTTAAAGGTACAATGCCGCGAAAATCCTTTAAAATTAAGCCTGGTGTTAGAAAATATGGAACTAAAAGCAATTATACTCCAGAAATTTTGGAAGAGGCACTTAATAAAATTCGGTCAGGTGCCATGTCTAGGATGGATGCTTCCAAACATTATAATATACCACCTGTAACATTATATTATAAATTAAATAAGAAACATATCAAAAATATCGGAAGACCTATTACATTTACCGCAGAAGAGGAGGAGAGCTTTCAGAATCATTTGTTACTGTTGAGTGATGTGGGCTTATCATTGAGTATGTTAGACTTCAGGATTATCGTCAGAGATCTAAATAAAAACAACAGGATTGTGCCGCATTCCCTTTACTGAAGGAGAAACTATCTCATAATATCCCGAGAAAAAAGAGCTCAAGTTAATCGTGAGCAAATTGAACAATTTTTTAATCATTTTTCCAAGGAGAGTGAAGGCGTCGCTCCACAAAATTTGTATAACATGGACGAGTCAGAGTTTCATGACGATCCCGGGAAAAAGAAATTGCTATTTCGTAGAGATTGCAAGCACCCTGATGTAATAAAAAACAGCTCTAAATCGTGTTTTACCATAGTCTTCTGTGGGAATGCAGCAGGTGAGCTCGTGATTGGCTATATCAAGCCCCTGAAGGTTCCAGAATGGCAGTCTCAAAATCAGGATGGATGGAGACAATAATTTTTGAAGATTGGTTAGAAAACCAATTCATTCCATTCGTGAAAAAATATGAGGGTAAAAAAATATTAATGTGTGATAATTTAAGCGCGCACATATCCTAAAGCACTGAGCTTATGTGCTGAAAATAATATTTCGTTCATTTGTTTAATCCCTAACTCGACACATCTTCTTCAACCCCTTGATGTAGGCTATTTTTCGGCAGTAAAATCGGCATGGAGAAAAGTACTTAATGATTATCGTCAAACCTGTAGAGGCAAGAAAGTGTTGGCTCTTCCGAAGTCATTATTTGCCCAGTTAATTAAAAAAACTTTACAAAATGGAAATGCCAATTCATCTGAAAATCTACGAGCAGGATTTAAAAGTTGTGGTTTGTATCCATTGTCTCCAGATACTGTGTTAAACAAACTTCCAGCATATACCTCTACTGTGGACACAAGCGACACTATTGGCGAAAGTTTTGTTAATTATATAGAAAATGTGAGGCAATCGGATTTAAATACAGTAACCTAAGGAAAGAAATTTCAATCACCTGTAGTAGCAGGGAAGAGTGTGTCGGTGAAGAAGTGGAAAATTATTATAAAAAAAGGGAAAAAACAGTCAAAACGAAGACAGGAAATGAAATAGAAACCGGCCAGTCTAAAAAACGTGGCAGGCCCATGGGATCAAAAAACAAGAAAAAGAAAAAGCAAAGGGATCCTGCTCCTTCTGAAGAAGTCTTGTCAACAGAAAATGACAGTGAAAACAATGAGGTCGTTGATACTGTTGAGCATGGTGAAGAAGGTGATGGAAATGAACTTAAGTCACAAAACATTGGAGGACACGCAAAGTTCGTCGTTGAGGCTATGATACACAGACCACCTTCTCCAGAAATAGCTGAAGATTTATATATGCTTGACATAGGTGATAATCTATCTGTGCTTCAAGAACAAGAGGTTGAGCCACCGGTCATAATAACCCGAGATTTTACAATTGGAGAGTCGGAAGAACAAATATTATGGGAAGATAAGGATTTGCCAATTGTAGAAGAATATGTTGTGGAACCTAGCGGTGACTTAACAGCCTCTACATCACATAAGAGTGGACTAACCCGCAAGGAAAATAACACCGAAAAGAATGATTCTGTTAGAGATTTGGTGAAAGATGCTTATTTTATATTTAGTAATGAGGGGAGCAGGTTCCTAGGACAAATACGAAAAGTAAATTTGTCAACCGCGACTGTCATGGTTTCAGCTTTCCAAAAATCCTTTTTAGGAGGTTGGAAGTGGCCTTCAAAAGCCGAGATATTAAAAGTAAAGGTATCGGATATAGTAAGTATCGTAAAAGAACATCAAATCTCCAAGAAAGGTGGTATAACATACATAGAAGATGAAATTTTATTCATGGAGTGGGGAGAGTAACATTTTTGTAAGTCAAATATTAATGAGAAATGTCATCTTATATACAAATTTTTGATCTCAAATTAAACCCAAAAAGCTCTAGTATTTTAATACAAATTTCATTTTATTAATTTAAGTCAATAAATACAGTTAAAAATGTATAAAACTTTTGTTTTTCTATCTTCCTTTTTGGTACATTGAGTTTGTACATGGCATCCCCAAGTGATATAAAAAAATTGTACTGCAAACAACTGGCCATAGAGCATAATTTTATTTTCTTATTAAAAAACGCTAGTTAATGTTACCCAAGCTCTAAATAAGTCCAATATTATATGTTTTAGTCTTCAGAAACAAAAGAGTTCAAAGTTACCCAAAATTTAAGATAACTTTGAATGGTATTTCAATCGTCAATTTTAGTAAGAATTAAGCGTATTTTAATTAATCTCAATATTATAATACGTAAATAACATTAACAGAACACAGTTAACGTAATAAAATCATTAATCTCTCATATAATTTTTTTACTCTGTAAAAATCTTCAAAAACTGTTCAAAGTTACCCAAGTTGACTGCATATCTCTTATTATGGAAATGACCTTCTAAATGCTTACAATATCATAAATGTACATGTTACCATCAAGTTATTTTCAAAAAACCTTCAGAAATATATCTAACACTAAAATATTTCTACCTATGTCCGTTATAGACAAAACATAAGAAACCATCCAACCAATTTCAATTAAAATATTTTTGTGTGTTTGGATGAATCCCTAGATGGTTTATATTTACATTTGGACCCGGTAGATGGCGCTGTTGTCGTGATCCATAACTCACCAGTTTTGCAGCTGAGGCGCATCGCTAGTAATAAATACATTTAAATTTAGCCTGTGTTTTTGTAATCCTTACACAAACAGTTTAAAACATCTTACTTCCTCACTATTTATCATCTTTGTGTAATAACATAGATAAGGATAATGATTTCTTAAATTTACGCGAACACTACACATTGAATAAAACTAAATTTACGGATTCTATCGCTTTTATTTAACTGATTTTACTTATTTTTAATTCCCGACGTTTCGGGTGCTTTACAGCACCCATGGCCACGGGGTGGGGGGGGGACTGAGATGTTTGACGTCCCTATGTCATTGTTAGCCCGGCTACCTTCAGTTTTTGAATATTAATTTTTGATCCGATTTACGCAAAACGAACTTACAGTATCTTGAAATCTTGCAGAGGTACGCTTGGGTTTGGGTTTAATTTTATTAATTATAGGATCCCAAGCAGATGGCAGCACCCAACCATCTTCTCTATTGAAATTAGGATGTTTTTTAATTTCAATAGCCTTACGTATCATCCTTGGCAAGAATCGGTATTCTTTTGCGAGGATTTGTGGTTTATCAAATCTGATGTAATGGTGGGGACGATCTTGAACATGATCACAGACTGCAGACTTCCCGTAGCGTCGGTGCTTCACGTCAGCAATATGTTCTTTCACGCGGGTTTTTATGGATCTTTTTGTTTGACCTATGTAAGAGAGAACACATTCACAATCTAACTTGTACACTCCTGCATATTGTAGAGGGATATTACGATATGATGGAGAGATTCGCCATTTTAATATCGGTTGGTATGGGTTTCTTTTTTCTATACATAGTGTGACCAATAGTGTTATCAGGATTACGAATGACTAAAACATCTAGGAAACTTACTTTGTCAGATGGTAAAATTGTGAAAGTATCGTCTACGTACCGCTTGTAGAATCTTGGATTTACAGGAGCAGTAAGAAGGGCTCCTAGAAATCCTCCATGAATATGTCGGCGACTATGGGAGATACAGGTGAGCCCATCGCTACACCATCTACTTGCCTGTAGAACTCTTCCTTCCACAATAGATAGCCAGATGTGAGGCAATGTTTGAGTAATACTGCATATTCAGGAGGCATGTTGTTACCTTCTAGCTTCCTAGTTACAATTGAGATGCAGTCTTCAATAGGTAGGCATGTGAATAGCGAATGAACATCAAAACTGACCATAGTTTCATTGTCAGCGAGATGTAGGTCTTTTATCTCACCAACAAAATGGTATAAATACTTTGTGTGTGCTCTGGTATGTCCTCTCAGTGGTGACAGTATTTTTGGTAAGTATTGTGCCAGCTTATAATTTTGTGAATAGATCTGGTTCACTATAGGACGTAGTGGAGCGTTTGGTTTGTGTATCTTCGGTAACCCATACAACCTCGGTGGTTTGGTACATGATGGTATTAGCGAATTCACGTCGAGATTTAATTTTTCGGAGTATTTCTTTATTAAATCGCTAGTTGCTTCAAGCGTGTTAGTTGTGGGGTCTGTTTTGACCTTTTCATATGTACTTTCATTCGATAAAAGCTGTAGTATTTTAAAACTATACTCTGACGAGTCCATTATTATGCTGTAAAACACCCGAAACGTCGGGAATTAAAAAGTCTAGGAGTGAAGATTTATGAGCTGACAAATAAATAAACAAGAAATATGTGTGCGTGATTGCGTGTCACGAAGTTGAGAATAGTATCGGCATATTTTATTATACAATTAGAATGTCATAAAAGCACATAGTTCACGTTGGTGTAATTGTAAGTGGACGTTGCGGCCTATAGACATCTATATATGTCTTCGATTAATAATAAAAATGCGGAGGCTTTGTCACTCCTGAAGACTAAGATGCTATACCACGTTTGCAATAAAAAGAAGCTGCGGTTCTCTACACTAACCACACAACACAGGAAACACAGCGGTACTAAAGCACTAAGCTGCTATCTTACGCTGGTATTCTGTGAAAGCGTTGTCCTCAGTCAAGCGGACCCATTTGTGCTACAACCATAATTTAACTGCAGCGTGACTCTGATCTGAGCAACCACAAAAAATATTTACAATTTACTGGTAAGATTTAACTGTGTTAAAAATAAAAATGAACAGACACTTCCAACAGTGAGTTGTGATTTTGAGTAATACTGAATAACTATTTACATTAAAGCCATTTCAGATCATTGATTAAAACTGTCAAAGCTAGTCACAGAAATATATGAAACATTTCAACATGTAATGGATAGGCGTAAAAACGGCACATCTAAAGTGAGTTTTGGTGAAATTTCTTATTCACTGATACTCTTTTATTTTGTTGGCAAGGGACTGAGGGAATTTTGTGTATATGCTTTATAGTCTGTCATATAATATACACTTATTGTGGTAATAAATCTTTGTTATTTAATATCAGTAACCCGCAAAAGTCTATTGTTGGACATTGGCCTAACCCGTAGGGGCGATTGGCAATCGTAACACCCTACGTTTCACACCTATTTCGCTGTTTTCGCAAATAAAACGTTCGTGATATTTTCCTTAGTCACATTTTTGACACCGACTGGTTGGAATAAGTTAATGTATTCTTTACGCCGCTACTACACAAAAAAATAGATTGTGTCCTTGATATTTTTTTGAAAAAAAAAAAACAACTCAAGTGTATATGACCATTTGCTTCAATTTTATACGTTAACAGGCGTCCTTTAAGCTGAAATACTCTCAACGACGTCCTCAATTTTACTATGTCAAGATTTAGAGAGTAATTAGTGACAACTAGAACCTTATTAGTTCAATTAGATTACAGAAGAAAATTAAATGCAAGTCCAACTATTCTATATCAAGTAATTTTATATAAAAAGATAGGTAAGTGAATTCTGTGATTCACAGGCATCTACATTTATTTTATCGTCGATTTAATAAAAATGTAGAGTGCGTTATCTTTCCGGAGGAGTAATACCGAACCAAAAATTTATATTTTAAAGTTACTGTGAAATCAACCATATAATATCTGTATCAATATTAAGTTGTATTTTTACGTTTATTACTAAATTTGTTAGAGAAAAGAATAAACTTTATTATTTATTTATTTATAACTCGTTCAAACACCGCAGTACTCGATGTAAAGCGCCCTAATCGTCGGGTATTAAAATGTAAAAATTAAGCGCGAATTAATCCGTAAACTTAGTTGTAGTCTCAAACAGTATTAAACTGCTATTTTGCTGGTTGCGATATGAGAGTAGTGATGTAGTGACAGTGTATGTATATCCCTAATCCTATGTCATCTCGTGGGCGTCGTAAGAGGTGACAGAAGTAAACTAAACCAGGAGACGGGCTTCAGCGTATTTCTGACAACAGCTGATTAAAAATAAAAAACTGCAGCTGCCATTCCGCCTGTCAAGTGTGGCTACTATGGCAAATTCCCAATTTATGGAAGAGACGCTGTTCAGCATTTGAATTTTATAAGCTGTAATGGAGGGACCGATAGATTTTTGAACGTAAAAAGAGCATTGTAACATGTGTGGAGTAAAATTTTATTCTCGTCCACTACAATGTCACATGGGATATATCCCTTTTACATGTATAATTAACACTTAACTACGCTTTCCTCTGTTTTTTATGCTTCCCTAGGGAGAATATGGAATTTTTAAATCTGTATTGTATTCACTAGCATAGATAGTGAATACCCCTTTATTATTTCTAATAAATTGCCTTAGGTAAAAAGTAATTACAAAAATGTTTATCTATTTGTATATTATACGACTCATTTAAAAAAATTAAACGTTTGTAACGAGAAACGGAGAGGTTGATTGAAACAACAGAGAGCTTTATTGTCTTGATAAGGTCATTTGACTCACATTAAGTCGGGCTTTATTATTTTTATGCTTTACTGATACTCGTGATAAGCGATTCATTCGATCATTCAAATAAGTGATAAAAATACTATTATTAATAAATATTCATAAATAAGCCTGATACTTTTACTTTGAAAACAGATTCGGTCTCATTGAGAAATTTGAGTTAGTTGTTCATATCACAGCAATTATAGATACGGTAAGCTTCTTTCCCGTTTTTTAGTATGAAGTAACAAAAAAGCAGACAGTCTATCTGATGCTATGTGGATGCTATGGCCCGTAAATATCTACTTTTAATTATCGATTAAGAATCAAAATGAAGATACGTTGTCACCC